ACAGCAGCAGCCTGGGAGCCCATGGCTGAAGAGAAATTCAAAGATGTTGTTGTAGAGCAGGAAATGGAGACGCCAGTGATGGAGAGCCCTTTCTCAGACCAGGTAGCGCTCTGCACTTCACATCTGCCCTGCAAGGGTGCGGTGGGCAGTGGGGGGGTTGCACTGAGACTGAAGAATAGCAATTGAAGTGTCTCTTCAGGTAACGTTTTCTTGTCATTCGCATGGTTAATATTTTTAATTAAAAGGCTAGCTAATTATCCTGATTTATAGTTCAGCTTTTTGGTTTGTTTAAAAGCTTTTCAGGCTTCTTAGGGGTGTCAACCAAAAGTGCTAATGAAGAGGTCTAAGCAGATCCACCACAAAGCTCTGGCCACCTGAAAACTACCATGGTCCCCAGTGTGTTAGATTTCATGTTCCTGGAGGACACTTCAGCAAATACTTTCAGGACAGGATTTTTGGTGAAAATTTGTACTTACGTCAGTTGGGGCTAAAGTGTGTGCTAATTTAACTTCAGTGAAGTTAAATTGGCACTAGGATAACTTTTGTCACATTAAAAAGTGGTGTGTTTTGGTTTTGGTGGTTTTGATTGTGTTTTTTTAGGAAACCAGGGTTGCTAGATCATTATATAAAGGACCAGAGAAGTTGAAGAATTTAAGTTGCCAGTATGATCCATAGTTCCCTTACAATTTATGAAGCAGTTGCAAAGCATCATGGTCATCCTGTCATGTCAATACTATGCTGCTATGAGGCTGTGGACACATTACTGTTTTTTACTGTATCCTTCGTTTCTGGCATTTGTGTTTTTCACATCATCCTAGTTCTGCCTCTGTGTGCCTGGCTTCCAGCTTTTTGGAAAAAATCCTGTTTACCTGGATACAGATGCTAGTGAAAGAAACTTTTTTTTCTGCTCACTACTTGCAGCAGTTGAGCATAAATTTTCCGTCCTTAATTAGCCTGTGTGTCACCAACTGATGAGAACCTTCTAGCATGCTCTTCATTTGCTCGTTGCCATGCAAGCAGCGTACCTCAGAAAGTGGTGCCTCTGTTGAATCTGCCCTTGTCCTGGCATGGTTTCCATGCATCTTCCAGCCAACTCTAATGAGTCAACTTCATTTTGTCTGACTGATTTTTTGGCGCTCTGGGTGATGTGGCCAAAGTTAAGGGTTTTTGGGGTTTTTTTTTAATACTTTGTACTCTTGGCTCTTGGGAGGTATTTATATGGTACTGTGCACTCTGCTGAGTTAACAGAGCTTGTTTTTCTTCTCTAAACTTCCGTTTTTTAAAGGTTGTTTTCGTACATGCTCTGTCTGGCACACAGTAGAGGCTTTGTCTTGATCTCTTTGATACTTCACTGAATTTTGTTGTGGCTCAGCTTTAGGCGAGCTTTAAGCAGGAACATAAATTACAACAGACAACGAAGGGAAATGTAGAAGGAACTAGAACTGTTTTGAAGAAAGCTCAAGGTGCAGCAGCAAACGAGGAGTTTGTGTAGTAAGCTTACGGCTTTTGAGAAGGAAGATCTGTGAGGGAATCCATAAACCAAAAGCATAAATTAAATTTCTGTGAAATTCTTGTTTATGTGAGTTTTCAATGGTGGGGACATTGCAGTGAATCTGACCCCCAGATCTGTTCTTTGCTTGTAGTGCTAACAAACCTTGTAATTGAAATAAAGTAAAAAAAAAATAGTAATTTACACAATAGTTTTACTTTTTTTTTCTTTAGATGAAAAAAATACCACCAAAAAAAGGCTTAAAATGCATTTTATTTGTGTTTGCTCATCCAAATATTAAGGAAATGCCAGCTTTAAGGTAGGCAATGCCACCCTGATTTTGTCAACTGGTTGTGCACCCTATGATACAATTTTTTCTGTTCTACAAAAAAACCTTCCAAAGTTAGAAGACTCAGTGCTCACAGGAAGGTTGAAAATACAGCCTTGTATAAAATAGTGTTATTTTCTACTCTGCCTCTGCAGATGAAGTCTTTAAACACAGATTTTCATGTATATAATGATCTGTAGAGTCAGATGTTTCTCTTGAAAGTTCCTTCTTGACAGAAATGTAGTGTGCAAGGAAAAAATGGACTTTTTTTCCCGGAAAATGTATTTTATTTAAAAAAAAAAAAATTACAGTATTAAAACTAAAATAAAAATCCATCCCCCTCTTTCAGCTGCATTTCTTGGCCAAACCATGTCTCCTTGAATGAGCTGTGGTCTCACTGTGAGTGGGTCACGTATGTCATGGAAATTGCACGACTGCAGTCACCATTAGAAATGCTGCAGACAGCTGAGCTAATAGGAGTGAATTCAGTCAGAATTGTGAGATACAAATCTTACATAGCACTGTGACATCCTGGACAGACAGTGCTCAAAATCCACTTACATTAGTTACAACCTACTGAAATATTTTGATGCAATAATAACGTATACTTTGCGTTTGGTGTTACTGAATTATTCTGAAATAATATAGATTTTAAAATTCAGTACAAGCTCACTGTCCTTGTTACATTATACCTATTTAATAAGGGAGAACTTTGAAAATATAGTAATAGCAAAGGATCTGACACTTTGAAAGTCACGTCCTCTTCCAAAAGGTTAGCCATATAGGCATTTGCACAGCAGATGCCCATGTACCCCTGCTCCTGGTGAAAGCCAACGGAAATGCACATAGACCCCTGCTCTTGGTAAAAGCCTGTTTCAGCTTTGTATTCACCCATCCTGCACAACAGGTGTGATAAAAGTGGACAGAACATGGTGACACCTTCTTTTGTTCTTTGAGTAGCCATACCAGATTTCTACTTTTTTCCTGATGTCTTCATATTTGCTTTATTTAACTGCCTGTATGAACGATCTTTACTGTACATGATAATAACTAGCTAGTTTAGTGTGAGAATGAAATGAGCTCCCTATAGTCTTACACACAAAGGCTGTTCATCTGGAGAATTCTTAGGGGCAAGTTGGCAGACTACTAGCTACTCTCTTTTTGCTGCCTAGTAGTCTTTCATTGACATTGACAATGCCTCTTTTGAGGCTAAATTTATAAAGATTTTACTTTCGACATATGAAAATCCTATTTTGCAGTGTTTTTCAACAAATTCATTGTCTGATGAACAAGTATGGAGAAGAGCCATTGATTCAGTAGTAACATTCCTTGCCTGTATAAATATTTGTGGAATATATGCTAAATTCTGAGTTTCTATAAGTTGTCCTGTGTGAATTCATCCAGTATTTTCTTTCCAATATATGCTTGATTTCCATTTAATTTCTATGCTCCCTTTCTCAACATGTAAGCACTTGAACTTTTTAAATCTTTCACGGGGAAATTGTAATAACGGTTAGCACAGGAAACATTATATGCTTTTTTCTTTTTTTTCTAATGTGAGCTTTCACCTTCCTTCTCTCAGTTGGATTTTACATGTTTTTATGGTATCCCATGCACCCATGCCTTTCAGAATGGAAGAGGTGATGTCAGTCTTAAAGGCACATAAAGGAGACTGTCACATCAGGATTGTGTCATGGGGCAGAAGAATACTGGTAGTACAGTATTATGTGCGAGGGATAGTGCATTCGCTAGATCCTTTAAAAATACTGCTAAAAATAAAAGTAATTTTGAAGATATTCATGTCATTTGATAAATTATAATGTATGAGTGAAAGAAACTCCCGTAAGCTGAACTGATTATTACAAATTGAGCCAAGTAATGAGTTCTGGGACATTGTTCTCTTCAGTGACTGCACAACTAATGCAGATAGACATTTGCAAATAACTCTTTTTAAGTTCATATGAACTAAAAATGCAGTTATAAAAGCCATTTAGCATCTTACAAAACACAGACATTTAAAATGCCAGTGAATTTATTTAAGCAGTAAAGAAGCAGCAGTGGCATTAAATTATATTTGATTTGTGTCTTTTTAAGTTTGTTGGTATGATTTCACAATAAGTAGTTTTTTAGGATAATCTTTGTGATTCTGCCAGAATCCAAATTGGTTGGAAAATTGAATAAAGGCCTATTCTATTTCTTTCTTTCTCTCTTTCTCTCTTTCTTTTTTTTTTTCTTTTTTGTAGAATTTAGGTGAAATTGAGCAGGTGAGATAGATAGATATAATACAGTTACAGACATTACTTCAGACAGCATTCTTCCTGAGCATAAAATCAGATAACATTACTTCATCTGACAGTGGGCTTGCACTAAAAACTTAGCAGACTTCAGTATGCGGTTACAGCAAGTGACAGCTCTTGAGTGTGGTGGCACCAAGAGAGTATTTTTCTTTTAGAAAATGACATTGTTTGAAATTAAAATGAACAATGTCATTTCACATAACAAATGCTTTCCTCTTTCTACAAGGTTAAAAGTTGAGTTGCTCCAGTGTTTCACCTCGGTCAGCAGTGCTGTCATCATTGCTGACCATTGGGCCTGGTTATAGGGTTGAGCACCCAGAGCTGTTGATTGGCACTTCAGGCAATTAGAAGGGCTCCCACCAAGCTTGATTAAGCAGCAGTGTAATTTGCCAAAATGTATAGGAGTACAAAGCCTCTTCCATAACTCTCACTTGGCCTCTGTGTGTGTTGTACCATGTGTGATAGTATTAAGGCACTGTCAAGTTCATATAGTTATGATGGGTCGAGTGAGACCTTGAACTTAAGTGTTTGCTATCTATAAATGCCATAGAAAATAGTATGCTGGTGTCCATCTCTACCCCTGCTGTTTTGACATCTAATGTTTTTGTTTAATTTGAGTGATGGATGTACTTTTAGTATATGTACTTTTAGTATATGTTTTTCCCTGCCCTTTTGAACCAATAATAATTGAAACAATGTACAGCACTGGGTTGAACTTCAAAAATCACTTTCAGTTTAGACTGCAATTGTATGTTAAGTTTTCAGCGTATTGGGTTAAAAACATGAGTACAAAAGCTGTCAGGAATATTCTAATTTAAAAATGTTGGTGATTTGGTTAAAAATAGTAGTTCTGAGTCATCCGGTGTGCATTATTTCCATCCTATATGGTGCTAAGATGGATGTTCAGTTATTGTCTGAAATTGTAAACTCTTTCTATATTTGTGCAGTTAAACCTGTTTTTGTACTCGAATGTTGTAAACATAGTGGTAACCAAGATAAGCATAACTTAAAAAAAATAAACTGAAGGATAACTCAAATAGGGTTTTGTTTACAAACATTGAAAGAAACATACAGTGAAGTCTGTGTGTGTGTATATATATGCATGTGTGTAGGTAACAGGAATGTCGCTTCATATGGGTCCAAGTATAGTTATTAGCTAAAAAGGAGGAACAGGTATGAAGAGTGTCTTACTAAAAAGGGATTGATAGAACAGCTTTTGTTGGAAGTCTTTTTAGATGTAGTCTCATGTTTACATTTAAAAGATCCAGTAGATTTCAAAACATCTTGTTAGTTCAGTATTCTGACTGATACTGGCCTGTCAGTATATCTGGCATACTGCTGCCAGTGATGTCCTATTTAATTTTCATGATGATTTTCATCTATTCTGGCATTCTCTGAACACACAAAACTTTTAGAAAAATGAATACAAGTAATTCTGTTTAAAGCGGGGGACGGGGGTAGCAAGTAGTGTTTACAGAAGACCAAATGTATCTGATTTGTCTAAGTTTTCATTAGTGCTGCTTTTCTTGCCAAAGGAGAGGTATATGTCTACACCAGAATGTCTTTTTACAGATACCATCTTTAGAAATATTACTAAATATGAATAATATTTATGCTTACAGTCCTAAAAAATTTAATATACTTTTAAATCTTTATTCATTGGGGTTTGAAATCTGGCACTAGTGTTGTTCCTCTGTGGTTCTGTTCTTTATTAGCAGCTTGAATAAATTCACAGCCCTTAAGCAATTTTATTTACAACCCTTACCACTTAGCTGGGTGCATGTAATGCTAGTTAAGGTGCTTTGCTTCTCAGTAGTTTTCCAGTTACTCGCTGACTGATCTGATCTTTTTTTATTTAATTATCCATAAAGTAGTTGTAAGGTCAGGACTATATTCATAAAGTCCAAAAAAAAAACCAACCCCAAACCCCTGACATTGTTCCTGTACTTCACAGTCCAGAGACTGTGAAGACAGAAACCTTTTTAAATGATGATGAGTCATAGGGATGGCTCCATTTCCAAAAGCATTCTTTTGTACTTCCCCAGTAGGACAAGATAAACTAGGTTATTTTTAAATGACCATTAAAATAGTTTGACTTACAGTCTTTAAAAAAACAGAAAAAAACTTTTGCAGCCTTCCTCATAGATATTTATATGTTTATGGTTATGTTCATTTATGTTTGTGCATTTTATCAGTAAGTCAGTACTATGTCAGTAAAGAATTTGCTTAGAATGATGCTATAAACCACTACCAATATATTTATTCAAACTTCCATAACTAAACAGAATATTAATTTAAACTTAAATTGAGTCAGGTTTATTTGTGGAGAAGATGTTATACTATTTAGCAGACATGATAACAGACGTGATATAAAGTTACTGTGGAAAAACTCTATTTCAAAGCGCTGTGTTGATCTTGGGGGAAGAAATAGGAGAACTGCACATAAACAGCATTAGTGTTGAGTCCTGGAGTTATAATAAGTGAATAAATAAAAATTCACGTTATCATAGTAATAGATAACTTGCTCTGTTTCCTCCAAATGGGTTATTGCAGAAAACTACTTTGTTCCTTTATTCAAGTAATGTTGTAAATTCCCTGATTTGTCGTTTTAGCATACTGCGTTGTTTTCCACCATTACCTGGCCCAGGGGCTGCATCTCCCTCTCTAACCTTTGTCTGCTATGTCAACTTAGATTTCCAAGTGTGCCATGATTGAGTTCGAAATTGATGTCATAGCCTCATAATGGCATTGTTACCTTAACAATGGTAGAAATTTAGAGAAGAAATGTAGAAAAATGTAAAAAAGAACACTTTACCTACCAACTTGAAAAAAAAATGCGTGTGCAATTGAAGAACAGTGGGCCATTTAAAATCTGAAAGTTAGTACCTAAATTTATGAATTGTAGCAGAGAAAATTGAGAAAGATGATCCAGTATGATAATGTTTAGCTTTTGCCAATACTCAGAAAGAGCAGTCCCTGGCTGCCTGGACACCTCAGTCATGTAATTTGGTAGCACAGGAAAAGATGACAGTATTTCCACTTATATGTTCATACTGGCTTTTTGAGCAGGAAGACTCATTATGCAGGAAAGTATCCTGAACATACAATTTCTGAAATAGCAGAACTGCCACACAAAGAGGTAAGAAAGAGGCTTCTTAGAAGGGAGCAGAAGGACGGGTTGGAAGTTTGTATTGCATTTTTTCCTTGCACCAAGGTGCTGTTCTGAGAAGAAGGGGATTCATTAGTTATTTCTAAACTTATCTGAGTTGACAGATCTTTCAGAAGCCTACAAAACTCCCAAGACCACTCCACATATCTACATTGCCCTTTTAGGCTTTTAAGCTAAGACTGCTGTCTGCAAATGTTATCTGCCCTTATGTCAGATAATGTAGGAGTCCTTTGAAAAACAGCGGATTACTTGTTTGCCTGACTTTGCTGACAAGGCAGGTGTTATGTATAGAGATGGCTGAGCCATATGGCGAATGAGGATGCCCTTGAATGTACTTAAAAGCACAAGCACAAGTCTTTCCAAGAGCAGTGATTTTATCACACCAGACTTGATCCTAAAGGCTATGCCAGCATTAACAGGTAGTGCAGTCAGAGCAAACCCGCAGATGAATTATGTTGAGGACCCAGCATGCATACTATATATGTTTCAGGGGATTTTTGTTCTGGACTAGCCCCAGCCTGGTCCCGTGGAGTGAATGCTCATTAGCAGTCCTGAGTGTAACTGCTAGCGTGGTTTGATCGGGAATGAATTTGGTTCGCACTCAGAGATTACCCTGCGATGCGCACTGAAGTGCAGCTGGTGGGGCAGATGGGAGTCTGGTGTCAGACTGACCCAAGCTAAAACATGAACACAGACATACACCTTGACTCTTATCAGTCAGGCAACATGTGAACTGGGAAATTTGGCCTCAACTCCACCTGCAGAAGTATTTCCACAAAACGGTGTAAAAGTAATTTGTGTGTCTGTACTCCAGAATTCCTCCTTCCTAGAGGAAGGAATTACATGGTGGGTGGCTGCAGTGACTATGCTGCTCTGAGTCTAGTGCTTGGAGTTTATTGCCCCAGAACCCTGTGCAGTTCTTTATTCAAAATCCTTTTACTTTTTTTTTTTTTTGTACAAGGAGCAACATTTTGAATACAGAAGAGCTCAGTAGTATGTCTGTTTAAAGAACATCTTGACTTCTTGTGGATGCCATTTTCATTCCTTTGAAAAGAGCAAAATATGTTTAAAAGCTACCTTCTGTACAAGTTGCGAGAACCATTAATGTTGACAATAAGGTATGCCAGGTTCTTAAAAGCGCAAAACAGTGATGTGGGTATTTTTTAAAATTGTCTAAAACTCATTAGTTTTCAGGTCTGAACAGAAGTACAATTGTGGGTGTAGAGTTTTATGTGTGAAAAGTACGGAGCACCTTTCATTATTCAGAATTGTTTTCATTTCCTGACTCTTGCTGCTTCTAAAAATACTTTCTATGCCACAGTATGAAAAATGATACTTTAAATTCTAGTAAGAGCATTTTGCCTTGTGGCCAGTCTTTTCAATTTATTTTCACTATTGATGTATCTGCCATTACGATATAGAAAAGGCATTCACTAACTTGCATTTAATTTTCTACCTGAATTTAGGCCACTGAGCATTAGGGACCTGGGGGCTTACAAGCCCCTTTCAGTGCAGTAGTCATTGTTTACTCTGAATCTTTTTGTGCATTAGAAGTATGTTCCTTCAGCTTAATTTACATTATATTTATAGTATATTATATGTAATTAACTCTATAATTTTATCATACATAGTTTCAATAGCACACGGCAATATTCTTAGCTTTGAAGCTTCAGCTGCCTGAAGGAGTCCTAGATCTCTTTTTTGGAGGCATGGTGCAGTAGGAGTAGTAGTAATAAGCCAAATAAGATTCCTTCATGGTCTTGTATTAAGTCTTTTCCTCACAGGTGTGGTGGTGGTAGCAGTAGTAAGAATAATATGATGCTCCTTGCTGGTTTACAGTGGTGCTAAGGCCCGGCAGAAAACAAATCCTGGGGATTACTTCTCATACCTTTGAGGTTGAAAAAATATGGTGTTCAAGGTACTCTTGCAACTTTCAGTTATATATCCAAATTTTATTTTTAGAAGACTAACTTTAGGCACACAGATGGAGAAATTTAACTAATTTCTCTATGCTGCCATTTCTCCATCTGTAAATTTGAGGTAACTAGTGTTCACTTTGAGAAGAACTTTTAAATAAGCTGATAAATTGGATTATCAGAGAGGATGAGTTATTCAGGATATACTTTACATGACAGTGCTTGGGGAAATACTGTAGAATATATTTGATGGTAATTAAAGTTATGACACTTGATCACATGAAATACTGTTTACATCAGTGTTCCAGTAGCTGTTACGTAAACGTGCACTTGAGGGCAGGATAAGTTGTATTTACCTTGTGGTTTATTATTGTAAGGATTTTTTAATTAAGCTTAATTTCTTACAGGAGGTGCTGAAACAGCTACAAGGAAGTATTGAAGATGAGGCAATGGCATCTTCTGGACAAATTGACTTACTGGAACGACTTAAAGGTAAATCTAGAATTATGTTTTAAGTAGATTCATTTGTTTCTCAGTTGTTTTTCCTTTGGGATGAAGTTTTCTAACTCAGCTGCATCTTCTTTCCAGTGCTGACTTTGATGGGTTAGGCATAGTCTCAGTGCCTGTTATTTTTGGTAGGCATTTTAAGACACATTCTCAAAAAAGACATACTTCTATGCTGCTTTTGTGATTTTGCTACTGTTACCATTGGGCTTCATATTAAGTGCTTTTGATACAACTTGCATTTCATCCAGTTCTTCAGAAAAAAATACACTTGTTTAAATTAATGATGGATTAGTTCCACCAATTTTCTAAACTTGTTTGCATGCCCTACCCCCTCCATATCATATTATTGGAATTGTATCTGCCATACTGCAAATTGATGCCCCCTTCCTTAGAACATCTGCTGGAATGTGTGCTGTCGCATTATATGGGATGTGCAAAGCAAGCCCAGACCACTGACTCCCTGTATACATCCATTATCCCTACCACCAAACCAGAAATATCATAGGGGATGTCTACATTTAAGGACCCTGTGGTGAACAGAGTTGTCACCGTTTACATGACAGTGAAGCATCTGCAGGATCTCTGAGGAAGAAGCTATTGTGGGCCACAAGAAAAATTCATATGCCATTTATGCAAAACTCTGCCCATTTCTTAAGTCCTTTGGGAAAGAGGCAGGCAGGCTCGTGTGAGGATACTCTTCTGATTGTCAGGATTGCATTTTGGCCATCTGCTTAGATGACTAGGATATGCCAAGTGTACCATTAAGATTGGTTTTGTTCACATTATGTTCTTCTGTGGATTCCAGTGCAAAATGTTTCCATCAAAAATCATGGATTTGTTCAGGAAATAAGATAGAAATGAGCTTCTACATTTGTGCTGCTGAACTTCAACTCTGAAAGCATTTGCTCTTTATTATCCAGAACTGAACTTGGAAAGTACCAACTTCCCTGGAGTGAAGTTAAGGCCAAAGGTGTCTGCGCGTTCATATGGGAGCCGGGAAGGGTCTGTGTCAAGCCGTTCAGGAGAGTGCAGTCCTGTTCCCATGGGATCTTTTCCAAGAAGAGGATTTATGAATGGAAGCAGAGAAAGCACTGGTTATTTAGAAGAGCTAGAAAAAGAGAGGTAAATTTCCCTGTTTATTCATCCAGTAGGGACTGACTTCTAATTTTAACATGAAAGTTTACTGACACACCTAGTATTTAGCTATCATGCATATGGCTTTGATTGCTGGTGTATTTGTCTTGACAGGTAAGGAAACCAGGAATCTACATGATACTTAGATGCACACACAAAAAAATGTAAAAGGCTTAAAACCCATGATACAATTTCTACTGCTTCTTCATATATGCCTTTCATTGTTACTGTTTGTTGGCTGAAGGTTATTCTGTTTTTATTAGGAGATCACAGAAACACTAGGTTGGAAAGGAC